AAGATACGGAGGACCGTGTTAATGGCCCAGTCCCGTCGGTCCTTACCATCTAATGTTGTGCCATTTGCTAATGCGGGATCTGTGAAATACACACTCTCCCTTTTTCTTCTCCGCGCGTTCAATCCCCTGAGAGGAATAAAATGCAGTTAACTGTTTATCATTTATAGATTTGTATGGAGAAGTTGATCAGAGTTTGTTAAGTACTTACAAATTCAGGCATCTAACAAGAGTGGCATTGAGCACGTTCAAGTTGAACAAGAGATCTAAGTCATCGAAACTCACATTGATGGAACCAGCATCGTGTCGGAAATGATCTCTATTGTAGTGGACTAGCAAATCATGATGACCTGCTGACATTTGATCCATGCAATAGTCATGTAACTTGTGGCAACTCGAGATGCACTCATCAAAGTATTCGCCAACAAGAACTGGCTGGCCATGGACGTAATTGCATGCTTCAAGTACGTCTGCTTTACTTTTAGCAAGCAACAATTCTACTTCTTCATCATCCATGGCGTCAGAAATAATATTACTCCCCGATTCGAACAAGCTGCTGTTAATTTGGTTCTGGGCGATGAGTGCTTTAAGTAAGAGGCAATCGTTCTCTTTCCTCTTCACTCTCCTGCTGCCCTTCCTTGTGGTCGTGGGTGTAGCCTTTTTGGCCACTTCCTTCTTGGTACTTGAAGCATTTCTGGCACAACGTCTTGTTGCATGCAAGGTAGACTGCCGAGCGGACGGTGAAGCTTGGACAGACTTCTTAGCAGATGGTTTATCTATGCCAGACCGCTAAGCTGGCGGTGCTACTGTGACGGGCTGCTGGGCTGTAGGAGCAGAGGCATCGGACTGCTGACCATGCGTTGAAGCTATGTCGGGTTTCTGCGCAGGTGGTGCCAAGTTGTCGGTGTGTTGAGGAGGCCGTGCCAACACGTTGGTTTGCTGAGCAGGAAGTGCTGACACATTGGTATGTTGATCACGCGCCTATGGACCAACAGACTGATGAGCAGTTGGTTCTGGACCTACAGACTGCTTAACAGACGGTTCCGAAGCATCAGACTACTTAGTAGTCTGTTCCACCAGGTTGGTCTGCTGAGCATGTGCTGTAGCTGGGTCTCCCCCCGCTGCTTCAGCAGCCGGCATAAGAACTGGTGGTGCATCATCAGTAGTTGTCGGCCTTGCCACTGGCTGCTTTGGGGCGAAGGATGACATGGCCTGTATGCCACAAAGTCAGGCCGACTGATCATAGGTTGATGCATCAGCCCGCGAGAGCTGCTGTGGCAAGGAGAGCGTCACCGGTTGAGGGGCGATAGTGGTTGCTCTTGGCGGGGCTTCAGGAATCTCATCGATGAACTCTATTTCCTTTCGTGGCCACTGGATGCGATGTAACAGTGTTTCTCCCAAGGTCCTTTTCTCATTGAAGTTCCCTAGGACATTCTTCAGGGCAAATTCATTGAATCCAGGCTTTACTTCAGTCACGTAGCACTTCACACAGCCCGACTTCAAGGGCACATTGTCCAAGAAGAGGCCATCTTCCAAGAAGAGTGGGCAAACCTAGGCTGTTGCACATTTCAATGTACCTTCATAATGTGTAAGCACACCCTTTAGTTTGACTTTCATTCCAGATAGATCAGATATAGCATCATCACGAGCAGCTGCAGTCTTAGTGTCGCTGGGGTCAGCTGACGCACAGCTACTCTTGTGCAGTGTTGTTGCGCAATAAGCAGCATCATCCATGCCCGCCCCCTCCCATCTGCTGGCTATCTGTCAGTGTTAGAGTCTTCTGCATCATCATTGACTCCTCAACATCCTTTCGAACAGCCGGATAAATCTCCTTCAACTTTTCAAACAATGCATTCTTCTTCATTTCACTCCTCGCTTTTTTCATGCTAAGCCTCTCTTCTTTACTGAGTGTGAAATCCCTCTTGTGCGGGACATTAACACCTATACCCCTTGCACGGCCAGGGGGCTCTTTTGTGTCCAGAGCAATGGACAGAATGTCACATGGCCCTGAGTTCCTGTAGAACCATTCAGGGATCTTGGAAGCCTCTACCATCACTTCATACAGTTTGGCATCACATGCATTTTAAAAGTAATAAGTTCCGTCATCACGCCTCTTTGCACGTGCCCGCAAGTAGTCTCTAGCGCGTTTGCCCCTGATTTCACTAAAGGTCGGATTCCCACCCACCGCTACTGCTTCTTTGTCCTCCTGTTCCCATATCAGTTTCTGAAGGAAATATGCCCTAGAGGCAATAATAAAGTTGTTATCTATATTTCATTATATCATGATAAATTTTTATTATTCATGCTAGAATTGCATTAACCGGAAACTTAGTACATGTGTGAATACATAGACAAACAGAGTGTCCCTAGTATGCCTCTACTTGACTAGATCGTTAATCAAAGATGTTAAGTTTCCTAGCCATGGACATGTGTTGTCATTTGATGAATGGGAACACATCATTAGAGAATGATGTGATTGACTAGACCCATCTGTTAGCTTGGCACTATGATCATTTAGTTTATTGCTATTGCTTTCTTCATGACTTATACATGTTCCTATGACTATGAGATTATGCAACTCCCGAATACCGGAGGAACACTTTGTGACGCTCCCGATTTGACCGTACACTAATCATACATGCAAACGTGTACGATCAAGATCAGGGACTCACGGGAAGATATCACAACACAACTCTACAAATAAAATAAGTCATACAAGCATCATATTACAAGCCTGGGGCCTCGAGGGCTCGAATACAAGAGCTCGATCATAGACGAGTCAATGGAAACAACAATATCTGAGTACAGACATAAGTTAAACAAGTCTGCCTTAACAAGGCTAGCACAAACTGGGATACAGATCGAAAGAGGCGCAGGCCTCCTGCCTGGGATCCTCCTAAACTACTCCTGGTCATCGTTAGCGGCCTGCATGTAGTAGTAGGCACCTCCCGAGTAGTAGCAGTCATCATCGACAGTGGCGTCTGGCTCCTGGACTCCAACGTCTGGTCGCAGCAATCGGGTATAGAAAGGGGGAAAGGAGGAGCAAAGCAACCGTGAGTACTCATCCAAAGTACTCGCAAGCAAGGAGCTACACTACATATGCATGCATTGGTATCAAATGGAAAAGGGTAGCATATGTGGACTGAACTACAGAATGCCAGAATAAGAGGGGGATAGCTAGTCCTATCGAAGACTACACTTCTGGTAACCTCCATCTTGCAGCATGTAGAAGAGAGTAGATGGTAAGTTCACCAAGTAACATCGCATAGCATAATCCTACTCGATGATCCTCCCCTCATCGCCCTGTGAGAGACCGATCACCGGTTGTATCTGGCACTTGGAAGGGTGTGTTTTATTAAGTCTCCGGTTCTAGTTGTCATAAGGGCAAGGTACAACTCCGGGTCGTCCTTTTACCGAGGGACACGACTATTCGAATAGATAAACTTACCTACAGGGGTGCACCACATTTCCCAACATGCTCGATCCCCTTTGGCCGGACACACTTTCCTGGGTCATGCCCGGCCTCGAAAGATCAACACGTCGCAGCCCTACCTAGGCACAACAGAGAGGTCAGCACGCCGGTCTAAATCCTATGGCGCAGGGGTGTGGGCCCATCGCCCATTGCACACCTGCACGTTGTGAATGCGGCCGATAAGCAGACCTAGCCTCCCTAATACAAGAGCAGGCATTCCAGTCCAATCCGGTGCATGCCGCTCAGTCGCTGACGTCAAGAAGGCTTCGGCTGATACCACGACGTCGAGTGCCCATAACTGTTCCCGCGTAGTTGGTTAGTGCGTATAGGCCAGTGGCCAGACTCAGATCAAATACCAAGATCTCGTTAAGCGTGTTATTTTGAAGTAACCGCGAACGCCGACCAGGGCCAGGCCCACCTCTCTCCGAGGTGGTCTCAACCTGCCCTGTAGCTCCACCACAAAGATCCACCCAGAGGGCCGTCGGGACAAAGGTCCTTTCAGCGCCCAATCCGTGAATCACTCGCGGGTACTCGACGAGCCGACCCGACTTTAGTCACCACATGTATCATATATCATGTATATAAGTATATACCCGTGATCACCTCCCTAGTGATCACGGCCCGATAGTATAGCATGGCAGACAGACAAGAATGTAGGGCCACTGATGGAATACTAGCATTGTATACTAAGCATTTATGATTACAGGTAAAGGTAACAACAGTTGTAACAAGGACAGGCTATGCATCAGGATAGGATTAACGGAAAGCAATAACATGCTACACAACTCTAATGCAAGCAGTAGAGAGAAGAATAGGCGATATCTGGTGATCAAGGGGGGGCTTAACTGGTTGCTCTGGCAAGAAGGAAGGGTCATCGTCGATGTAGTCGAACACACGGACATCGGCAGCACTCTCGGGGTCTACCGGAAAGAAGTAAGGGAGGGGGAACACAATAAATAACAAAGCAATCAAATGTAACACAAAGCAAGACACGACTATATGTTGTGCTAGGGGTAACCCATCGCAGAGATAGGTGATACCGGCAAAGGGGGTAAACATCCGGAAAAGTATTCCCGGTGTTCGGTGTTTTCGGACAGACGGACCAGAGGGGACGATTGTAGGTTCGCTATGCTAGGATCGTGTGGCGGACAAACGGGCCACGTATTTGTATTCGTCTCGTCATTCTAAGAAACTTTCATGTACAATGTATTTTCATCCGAGTTACGGATTATTTTATACTAATTTTAAAGTTTAATTCATTTTCTAGAATTAACATATTATACTAATTCGGGTTGACTAAGTCAATTTGACTAGTCAAAAGGGATATGTGGCCCACATGTCATAGACTATTTACCTAAACCAATAAATAAATCTAACTTATTTAAAGTGGGGGCCTACATGTCATCTACTACTAAACTAACTTAGCACTAAACTAGTACTACTACTAACTAAGCCTAGCAACTAATTAGGTAAGGGCCGGCCTGGGCACAGCCGTGCACACACACTCATGCACGCACACACACGCTCGGCCATGGCCACGGCCATAGCCGAAGCCAGCGCCGGAGCAACAAGCAGCGACAGTAGTAGTGCAGTAGCAGGCATCCAACACAGAAGAGCAGCAGCAGCACAAAGCAAAGCAGCAGCAGCTAGCAAAGAGCAGCGGGAGCAGCAGCTACGCAAGGGACAGCAGTAGGCGATTGCAGGGAGCGGCAGGGGCCGAGCAGCGTCGGCAAGAAGCAGCAGTATACCGCGGAAACCACGAGCAGCAATCAGTTGCGGAGGCGCACGTGCACGCGCAGATGGGCGCTGGGTGCGGTCGCGGTGGCCAGGGTGCGCACGGTCGCGGACTGGCGGGCAGGGGCACATGGTGAGGAGCTTGGGCTTCCTTCCATGGCACCAAACACGGTGGGGGTGACGTATGGCGCGGAACTAAGCGGGAAGGGAGGGGATCCGGAGGAGGGACTCACAGAGAGGCCGCAGACGAGCTCGGGGAGGCCGGGGACGGTCGGGATGGAGCGAACCGAAGAAGAGATGACGGCGGCCGTGGCGAGGAGACGATTGCGATCTCGAACGTATGGGCCGCCCTGGCTCGATTTGGTGCCCGGGATGGACGAAGACGGCCACGCTGGACCTCCTAGACTTGTTCCCGAGTGCCAACGTCAACGATGGCCGCGGTAGCAACGGCGAGAAGCTCGGTCACCACGGAGCTCTCAAGCCCGAAATCGAGCAGAAGAGGGAGGAGGTCGATGGGGAAACAAAGGGGAAAGAGGGAGGGCGATCTAGGGTTTCGCGGGGGTGAAGTTGTAGGGGGTTTGGGGGCCTGGATGGCCTCCACGCATCCATGGCAGCCATGGATGGCTGCCACGGCCCCCCATCTCCTGTAGCGATGATGAAGGAGAGGGGAGGTGTGCTGGGCTAGCCATTCGGCTAGATGGGCCAAAGGTTCAGTAGTTTAGGTCCCCTTCTTACCTTCCTTTTTGTGCTATTTTCTTTTCTATTTTACAATTAGTTGGACCACAAAACAAATTTTGTTATAAATAAAACTCGGCACATAATTCATGCACAACATTTGTGGTGTTGCACAAAAAGTTTGGATTCGAGTGGAGCAATTAAAATTCCTATTTGAATTTAAACATGCTTATTGAAAACCCGCTAATGCACTAAAATATTCCTAGGGGCAAACCAAACCTCCATTTAATGTTGGTTCCTACATGTTAATTACTTGGTGAATATTTGCAACCTATCGAACATTTTAGTGTTGCAGTTTGGAGAAATATTAATTTTGACTTTATTATAAATTTTGAATTGAACTCGATTTGGACCCAAGTGAGGTTTAGTAAATTAATAGCGATGACATGGCACCATTAGTGTGTGATTACTGTAGATGAGCAACGAGGGTGTTACAAATCTCCTCCACTACAAGAAATCTCGTCCCGAGATTTAAGAGGTAGAGTTGAGGGGAAAGAATCGGTTATGAATTCTAACGAGTGTCGTCGGTCTTGGTTGCTCTTCCCGAAGACGTTGATCTCTTTCGTTGATGCCTTCATTTCTCTTCTTCCGGTCATCGTGAAGTCAACATCCTTTCTTCGGGAACTCCATCGTACTTACGTAAAATGATAAGGGGTAACTCGAAGGAACGAAACTCTGCATGATTGCTTAACCGGTAGATAACATTAGGGAAGGTGGCGAAAAGTAACTCTCGAATTGAAACTTAAGAAATTACCGAAAGCAAAGTAGAATTTTCAAGCGCATAGGCAAGCGTTTGTTGCCTGATACGAAATGTGAAAGGGGTTCGGAGAAATGGGAATAATTATTGCGTCTGATACCATAATAGATCACTAGGAAGGTGGCTCGTGATTCACATATGAGTCCAAATGTGAGGAATAATTTTGGAAACAGGGATGTACAAGAGAGTCAGGTTTTGATCCGGTGGAACTGTGGGTTATGGGCCCACCATTTGGGTTAAAAGTAGGAAGGGCGAGGACGTCTTGCACGATCATGTAAGCAAGGCATGTCAGAGGATAGTCTATTAGTTATGTCGACAACAACATCGGTACCAAGGGCGAGGGACGAAGAGAACCATTTTCCTGCTCGTTGAATGAGGCAGACCAATAGGCAAAGTTCCCGTCCATCGGTGGTTACCGGAATGTCATCAACAATAGTAACAGGGTTACACTAGACATGATGGTACACCCAAGGTGTTTACATACACGTATGGAATTATTACTGCTCAGCTAAGTCAGATTACAAGAAGGTTAGACAAAATGATGGAAAGGAAAATATGATTATCATATTAAACAGAAGAATGGAAAGGAAAATGTGTTTAAACACATATTTCAGGGGTATATCCTTCCCAAGGACAAGAGGAGCAAGATATCCATGGTAGGATATAAAGTGGAAAACCCTTTAGGTAAGGGGAGAGAAATTTCATGACATTACCCATACAATGGTGTTTGAATAACTGAGGAAGAAACATTAGCATTGGGCTTCAAATGTTCTTGTTGAAAATCAGAGTACCACAGAAATGCTTTGAGATAGCATTGACATGGTCTTCAAGCAAAGGTCGGACTTGGATACACAAAGGATTCATCAGGAAGAGCTTATAGAATAAGTCTTACAATTTCCTCATGGAAGAATGGTTAACCTTGCAAAAAAGGAAACTATAACAACAGGTCCTCCGGTCAGGTGTGTTAGGCATGACATCACCTTACCGGGTCATATAAAGACCAACGTTATAACTCTTGGAAAGATGTTCCAACCATCATATCTAACACAGTTTCAGTTATGGTTGGTGTCAGGATACCTCAGACTCAGGATGACTGACAAGAAAAAGGTGCGACACAAATTGGCAAGATGACATTGTAAGATTCTCGGGAAATGAACTATGGAATCGAGTTCCGAAACAAGAGTTCATCATTAAATCAAGGAGAGGGTGAGGAGGTGGCTGATCGACTCAGCGACAATTCATCGAGATTTCCAAAAAGATGGATTTCCACAATTATGTGAACAATGAGATAACATTTGTCAGATCAAATGGTATAATGATGTATGCTTGACAAAATCACACACAATTAAACATTGAATGAAAGTGCCCTGAAAATACGGACCAAGTAGGACGATCAAAGCTAGAATGGTGATTCGATAACCAAAAGACTTAGAATGGAACTATCGACCATTCACTTCAAAACAATAGGGTTGCTAGAAGTTTTGAATTCACACATCATAGTTCAGTTGTTGGTATTCCGGTTAGAAACAACACGAGGACCAAGGAATGAACAGAGATGACGAAAAGTATTACTATATCAAGAATTTTAAAGAGGTGGTGCAATCCTTGCAGCATCCTTGACATAAGGATAGTAATACTTCAAGGTAGAACATAACACAAACTGGATAGCAAGTTCTATCCATAACATGAACAAGTTTGTGATGAAAGGAAGGTAAATATGCTGTCGATGGTAACTCAAATTACCAAGGGACGATGATGGCACTTACCATCATGAATTCGACTGATATCCTGGAAGGAATCAAAATGTTGTTTGACGATCACAACAAATTTTGTCGAGAGGCTCCACAAAGATGTAATCGATCAGCGATGACATCAAGTTAAAGGAATGATGAAGAGAAAGGTTAATGGATCCAAGGGTACGACACAAACTCCAAACCAAGCTTGATGTCCAAAGTGAAATGATATGATGAGGAAGATCGACGTCAAAAATTGTGCTCCGGGAAGAAGGACCAGGTAGCACAGTTAAATTTAGCACGATAATGTTATAGACGATCAGGCTTGGGATGACTTGAAGGATTATTAAACTCGTAAGCAACGAAAATTTTACTTATAGTTATTGAATCGGAGTGCGGAATCGATTCACTTATCAGTGTTATCGGTTGACAAACAACCCAGAACACATGATATGACAATGACAGGGAAAGGTAGTACTTCATCAAAAGTTCATAAGATGTAGTGCAATGGCATGATATCCTCAAGATACCAGGGGTAATACTCGAAGGTAGATCATAATAGAGGTTGGGCAGGCATATTGATTTGTAGAAGACAAGTGCTTTAACTCGTCCGAGAAATGGGATCAAAGAAGAACAATCATGGTCGGAACCACGTTTGCAAAGGACTAAACATAGATACAAGACGAACTTATAACTAGGGGATTATTATTATTACAAGAAGCTTCGATGATAAGTTCCACATTTGGTCCATGGGCATGAACGCAAAGGCTCAAGGTCGACTCCCACTTCTTCAATGCATGACCTTTCATTTTACTTCTTGCTTTTGATGAAACTATAGTGTAGAAATTTTATCTGGCGAAACAACATAAGAGTATGACTCGCGAAAACTTTCGGGTTCATACGGTTTAGGAAAGGCATAGGTTCAACCCATCAGGGCATCTTAGGAACATATACCACGAACATTGGGAGTAACTAACACAAGCTTGATAGAAGGGCATTGTCGACAAAAACAGAGGATACAACTTACCAAGGCATACGTATCAGGGAAAGAACTCGTAAAGGGTTCAGATTTACGAAGAAACTAGCAAGAAGAAATCCACCAAGGGCCTAGCGGACAACAAAGAATCTGATGTGAGTATCGATGTTTGACCAAAAGAGGAAACAATGCGAGGGCAACAGATTATAGAAATACTTGAATAATATTGAAGTTTAATCACAAAGGAATTATGATTTTCACGCCGGGGATCATAAGTAGAGGCTTTTATCAAAAGATAAGTAAGTTGGATAATCATAGATTGACAATCAATCAAGGTTTGATTTGTCGAGAACCAGCTCATGTCCGGAGTGATGTCTGAGCCGAAGAAAAGAATTCTAATTGCGAATGATGGTTGCATCCATTCACAAACATATCGAATCAACGGAATCAAAATGATAAACACAAAGGATGCCAACAAGATTACTAGACTTATGGGATTAACCATGTAAGCAAGCAATAATTTCAAAAGCAATAGGAGGTTGAGGATTTTAGGAAGATCAAATAGTATTTAAAAGACTTTGGTGAAACACATGAATAACTTGGGAGAAACAAACGATCGGTGTGTGCGTGAGGATTAATTTGTAGGTGTATTCAGGTGACAATTAACTGCAAGGCAGTAAGCTCAAAGGATTCTCGGAAGAATGGAGAGCAGTTCGAGGCATCTTGTAATAACAAGATCAATGGGATTGAATGTAAGAATGACAGGTGTATGCAATTATCCATAAGGATATAACAATGGTAGGGAATTTGCAAAGGCGGTGGGCACAAGTGTCTCGGGAGAACGTCGTAGAGTGTCTTTAAAATCTTCTCGTGCAGTAGGCGATCATCTGTAATAAGAGGCTCCCCGGAAGAAAGTAGTTACGAGAACCTAGAGTCAGAGTTAGTAAAATGTTTTAACCCGAATAGAAGAGAGATCAGAATCCCAGAGTATAGACGAGGAATAAAAGATCCTAATACCACCCAATGGCGACGTGGCCCGTAAGCCACACAACCATGTTAGTAAAAGTTTTTTTAATGACTAGACTCAACTTCGGCCAAGGAGTTGGAAAGGAGGATTCCTACAGGCAGTCGGCTCTGATACCAACTTGTGACGCCCCCGATTTGACCATACACTAATCATACACGTAAACGTGTATGGTCAAGATCAGGGACTCACGGGAAGATATCACAACACAACTCTACA